ATAATTTTAATTACAAAATTAAATTTTTTAATCATATATATAAACATATCTTTGTATTGATTTAGTACTATATAAATTTTACATTCTAGGATATATTGTGGGCAATGCTGGATTACTTGTCACTTTGACACAATTCATAATTGCATATGGAATTTTATTATTTACTGTTGCATCTGTATGTGCAATTTCAACAAATGGAGCAGTTGAAGGAGGTGGTGCTTATTGTATCCTTGACTAAAAGTCATATTGCATTGTAAAATACTGTTATTGCTCTCAGCAATTATGAATCCATTGAGAATAAAATCCATATCTTGTATAGAGATAAGGTATCAATTACCACCTCTATGTTTTCATTATGTGCTGAATGTTGGATAATATGTTTGACTTTTGTTTAGTGTCAAATTGTTAATATAGAACTTCAAAAAATAATTCAAAATGTGAAAAAATTAATAACATATATGTATTTTTTATTAGATGCTGTATCAATATTTTCCTTATTAATTATTATACAGTCATGATTAGTCGTACACTAGGACCAGAATTTGGTGGTTCTATAGGCACATTATTTTTTATGGCTAATATTGTATCAAGTGCTCTTTGTATTGCTGGTTTTGCAGAAGGTTTAATAGAAAATTTTGGACCATCTGGTTATTTGGCTGGTAAAAGTGCTCTCATACCTGATGGTACATGGTGGCGGTTTTTATATTGTTCTGTATTAAATACTGCCAATTTAGTAATATGTCTAATAGGAGCAGCAATGTTTGCAAAGACTAGTGTTGCAATTTTGGCTGTTGTTAGTGTCTGCTTAATAAGTATTTTCATAAGCTTCTTAGCACAAGGATCCATGGAGGTAATTATATTGAAAACAGAAAATTTATCAGTTAAATGCAATCTAATGTATAACTTATCTAATGTATTTTTTATTATAGATACCAATTCCAAATGCAAATGAATTGATTCAAAATGCAACATATCATGTTAATGGCACTTATACAGGATTACTGTCATCTACTCTTATAAGTAATCTTTATTCAAACTACAGTCCTGATTATTCAAGTAAGGGAGCAATGACTGACTTTGCAAGTGTTTTTGGTGTATTATTTAGTGGTGTAACTTAGGTGAATTAAAAAATCCAGGAAGAAACATTCCGCGTGGAACTTTATCAGCAGTATTATTTACATTTATATGTTATATTCTGTTATCTATTCTTACAGCTGCAAGTACAAGTCGATTTTTATTGCAAAATAATTTTATGTATATGATGCCAATTAATATTTGGCCACCATTTGTAGCAGTTGGTATATTAACAGCAACATTTAGTGCTGGTTTAAGTAATTTAATAGGATCAAGTAGAGTTTTAGAAGCACTAGCAAAAGATAATGTGTTTGGTAAGTGAATAGAAATTTGAAAGTTTTTATGTAATTCCCATATACTTCTGCACATTTAATACTTACAGGATCTGGTTTAAATTTTATAACACAAGGGACGTGGAAAGGAAATCCAATTGCTGCAGTTTTAACTTCATGGACTTTAGTTCAAATAATTTTGTTAATTGGTTCTTTAAATACTATTGCTCAGATTAATTCAGTATTATTCTTGTTGAGTTATTTGGCTACAAATTTGGCTTGCCTTGGATTGGAGCTTGCAAGTGCTCCAAATTTCAGGTATTTCTCATTGCAAATTTACATCATTTAAAACCTTTACATTTTTTGAATAAAGTAATTGAAATTCCTGTATCTTTTTTACAGACCAACATTTAATTATTTTACATGGCATACAGCAACAATTGGACTTCTTGGTACATTAATAATGATGTTTGTTATAAATAGTATCTATGCTTCCAGTAGTATAATACTATGTTTAATTTTAATTATTGTGCTGCATTTGTTTTCTCCAAGTAAAAATGCTCCTTGGGGAAGCATATCTCAAGCACTTATATTTCATCAAGTTCGAAAGTACTTATTAATGTTAGATTCACGAAAAGATCATGTAAAATTCTGGCGACCACAAATACTGTTAATGGTAGCTTCTCCGCGATCAGCGTGTCCACTTATAGATTTTATAAATGACTTGAAAAAAGGAGGACTTTATGTAATAGGGCACGTAAAAATTGGAGAATTTTTAGGACAAAATATTGACCCTGCTATAGAAGAATATCCTCATTGGTTAAGTTTAGTTGATCATATGAAGGTAAAAGCATTTGTCGAGTTAACAGTTACAAAAACTGTACGCGAAGGATTACACCACTTAATTAGAATATCTGGAATGGGAGCAATGAAACCAAACACAATTGTTCTTGGTTTTTATGATGAAAAAGCGCCAATAGATTTTTTTAAGAATTCCCAGTATGCAACAGATATGTTTGAAAACGTTTCAACATTATCGAACAGTACTGCATTTCCTCTAAGACAGATAGATGGAGAAAAGTACCTGGATCCAGTACAATATGTAGGAATGTGCTCAGATGTTTTAAAAATGAAGAAAAATTTGTGTTTATGCAGAAATTTTGACACATTGAATAAATTACAAATAACTAAGTAAGTATATGATTAAGTTTTCACAAGTTAGGTATCATCATGTTACTTGCTTTTCAGGAATTCTTCTTTAAAATACATTGATGTATGGCCTGTGAATTTTTTTCAACCTACTGATCAAGATCCATTTGACACAACATCATTATTTATGCTCCAACTGGCATGCATTATTAATATGGTACCTGCATGGAAAAATTTGCATCTCAGGGTGTTTCATTGTGAAAGTTCAGACAGTACTGCAAGTTTGAGTACTTCTGATTCACAAAATTCGATCAGTGAATTTCCAAGAGTTTCCAATGAACATCGTATAAGAAAACTATTAAATATGCTAAGAATATCTGCATCCATAAAGAAAATTCCTGATTGGGAAGTACAAGTACGTGGATTAAAAGGTAGATCTCTCATCGAGTTAAGAGTTGAAAGTCAATATGAGTCGAGCGCTGAAGGCAGCGATGTCTTAAGTAATGTTTCACGTGCTTATATTTTAAGGTGAACATCATATTTTAATATTTCATTTAATATTTTATATTCAATGAATTTTTGAATAATTCGGACTTTTAATATGTTGATTTTACTTTTCAGTGTGAATCAGTTAATTAGGCAACATTCTTCTCAAACTGCTGCAACATTCATTTATTTGCCTGCCCCACCAGTATCAAATACATGGGACGAAAATGCTATGTATCGTCAGTACCTTCAATTGTTAACAGAATTAACTGCAGATTTACCACCTATAATATTAGTGCACGGTGTTAGTGCTGTTACGTCAACAACACTATAATGAAATGTAAATATAGGAATAGAAGTGCTTATTGTACAAGTTTTGCAAAAGAAAGTATTATTTAATGAATATCATATGCAACCTTAAGTTATTTTTTATAATTCTTATGTTTTTTAAAGAACGACCATTGGCATCTGAAGGAGCAGAAAGATATCAAAAGTATTTTTTCGTTTTTAATTACATGATTATAATAGTATAATGACTAACTCGACGGTAATAATGCTTTCTTATTACAAGAAAAAAATTTTAATCTTGGAACAAATATAGTTTATTGCTGTGGCGACGAATTCATTCTATAAGAGTTTTTAGGAGCGAATATTTTTAAAATGTTGACACAAGTCTTTATTAAGGAATATGTAAATTGTATCTTAACACATTCATACATAAAACTATTTCTATATCAATTTTTTATACCCTATTTAATGTTAACATAAATTTAATTCAATAGCAGTAAAAAAATGGATGTAAAACGAAGAGAATTATTATTTTTATACATCTTGTAAACCAAAAAAAAAATATTCACAATTACTTCATCAATAAATTATGTATGTATAACCTGTTTTATGCACATGACTTTCTTTTAATATTTCTTAAAGAAACTATTATGTTCTCAATAAATACACAATAGAAAAAAAGCGTTCAAATTTTTAAGAATGAAATCTTATTCGAAATTTTTTTCGAATAAAATGTAAAACGATATCCCTTATTCGTGATGTTTATTCGTCTTGAAGTTATTTCGAATAACGAATAAAATATCAGGTCCTGTATTGTATTTTTACAATAGAACAAAGAGACATAAGCGATCACATTTTGAAAAAAAAAAAAATGAAGTTGGATTAGTCTGGCTTTGAGGTACAGAAATATTATTGTAAGAGTCCAAAAACACAAAATGTTTTTTTTATGTTAATTTATTTTATAACAATTAAAATGCTTAAAAAAAATGAGATACAAGATACACAAGGTTAATAAAAATAATAAGAAGAAGAAAGAAAGAAATACATTAAATTAACACGTTCGTCACCATGTCACCCATATCTGGGTGACGGGTATGCTTCCGTGGGGGCCCCGTCACCCAGATATGGGTGACGTTCTTCTTCGTCAAGTTAAGTAGGATTTCACAAGTAATTTATAAAAATCCATACAACACAAGAATTTCATGGAATATCACACTGTATTATACTATACATTAATTTATATTTAAAATAAAATATAACTTTATACTACGTAGCATGGTATTCGTTAAAACAGTTCAAACACATTTATGGTGATTTTCGACAATTGGGACAATATGTTGTAGTCTTTTTTACATTTTTTCTCGCTTCCTGGCGTTCGAGAGTTTGTCTCTTCTTCTGGTAACATAGAACGCAAATTCCAGCTAATCGCTCTGTTTTCGTTCTTGCGCTCCGACTATCGGATTTGGTTCCCCGCGAGGAACTCGACCGATTCACGCTGGGCGATCAACGTGTTAAGGCGACATACAAATGAACTGCAAGTTATTGCTTATCACGATTTGACGCTTACAACTTCACACTTTTAATCTCGCATGCCCCCTTTGAATTTTCTGGCACGCACTTCGAAGTCCAGTAAGCTTAGCGACTCATTACTTAAAAATGCCACAACGCTAAAAATAATTTTTCGATAAAATCAATAAGTCAACGTCGCATTTTCTCGAACTGTTTGTA